CTTTGCTGCAGTCTTCACTGGCAAAGGCTCTGGTCACACCATCCAAAATACAGAAGGTGAAAGCATGGACTGTGAAAAGGAAGTTCCCTCTCCCACTGCAAGAGCAGGTTCATGACCATATGAAGGATCTGAAAGTGCACGAGTCCATGGGACCTGACAGGATTCATCCATGGATTCCAAAGGAATTGGCCAATGAAGCTGCAAAGCCACTGTCCATCACATTTGAAAAGTCCTGGCAGTCTGGAGAAATTCTCACTGACTAGAAAAGGGAAAACATAACTCATATTTTCAAGAACAGTAAAAAGGAAGACCCAGGGAACTACAGATCAGTCAGTCTCACTTCTGTGCCCAGCAAGATCATGGAGCAGATCCTCCTGAAGGCTCTGCTAAGGCATGTGTAAAGCAAAGGGGTGATTGGTGACAGCCAACATGGCTTCACTAAGATCAAATCCTACCTAATTTGGTGGCCTTCAACAATGGGGTCACTGCTTTGGTGGACAAAGGAAGAGCAGCTGACATCATCTACCTTGACCTGTGCAAAACCTTCAACACTGTCCTACATGACATTAGAGCTACCAAGCTGGTGAAAGGTCTGGAGAATTGTTCTGGTTTGGTTTAGTGGGTTTCTTAGTAGTGGGGGAAGGGCTCCAAGAGTGGCTCTGGTAAGAAGCTGAGAAGCTCCCCCTGCTCCAAAACCAGCCAAGCAGCCATTAGAGGGACAATAGACGTGCCTCAGCGATTAACATACAAAAGAACCCATATAATACCTGAGCATGGAAGAAAGGGGGGGAGAAGAGCTGTCCTGGGGTTGTTGAGGAAGAAGGGGAAGATGGTGTCCTAGCAGAGGTTTCCCCGCACTTGTGGAGACAAATGGTGGAACATTCCCTGAAGGGGCCAGGAGGGGTGAACTTGGCACTGGACTTGGATTTTGTGATCAGTGGATTTGCTGCCAGTGGACTCTGATTACACAGCTGTGGAAGACCCCAGTGCCACGGGAGTTTGTTCCCAAAGCTCTGTGGGAAGCCCAGGCTGGAGCAGCTCTGGACCTTGTGGGAAGGACTCATGAAGGAGAGGTTCGTGGAGGACTCTCTCCCATGGGAGGCACCTCGCGGGGGAGCAGGGAAGGACTGTAAGGAATCCTTCTTCTTGAGGAGGATGGAGCAGCAGGAACTACCATACTGAATGGACTCCTCACCCCTTGTTCCCCTCTGCTGCTGGGGGGAAGAAGGGAGAGAAACCAGGAACAAAGTGATTTGGGCCCAGGAAGAAGGGAGGGGTGGGGTAACATATGCAAGCCCTGCTCTGTGTGTTGTCTGTGTCCTGTGTGTGTTTGATTAGTGTGAAATTAAATTATTATTTTTTTTCCCCAACTTGAGTCTGTTTTGCCTGGGACCTTAACCAGTGAAGAACTCTCCTTGTCCTTTATCTCAAGCCAGGAGCTTTGTTCTCCTCATCCCAGAGTGTGTGTGTGTGGTAGTTGAGTGATTGGCCTTGGGGCTGGTTCTTTGTTGTCATGTTGGGCTCAAACCATGACAAGAATAAGCCCTATGAGGAGAGGCTCAGGGAAATGGGATTGTTCAATTTAAAGAGAAGGCTGAGACCTCATTGCTCTCTACAACTACCTGAAAGGAGGTTGTAGGGAGGTGGGAGCTGGCCTCTTCTCTCAAATGAATAATGACAGGACCAGAGGAAATGGCCCAAACCTGCACCATGGGAGATTTAGACTGGATATTAGAAAGAATTTACCAAAGGAGTGGTTAGACAGTGGAACAGGCTGCCCAGGGAGGTGGTGCAGTCATCATCCCTGGATGTACTTAAAAGAAATGTTGACATAGTTCTTAGTGACATGATTTACGCACTGAATGGGTACATTAGTTTATGGTAGGGGGATTTAGGTTATGGTTGGACTTGATGATTTTCGAGGTCCCTTCCAACAAGGATGATTCTATGATTCTATGACCCTGGTATCAAAACTGGAACAGTACAGATTTGATGGATCACAAGCTGGCTAAGGAACTGGCTGGATGGTTGCACTGAAAGAGTGGTGATCAAGGACTCAATGTCCAGATGGCAAACTGTGACAAGTGTTGTTCCCCAAGAGTTGGTAATTGGACCAGTGCTGTTTAACATCTTTGTTGGCAACATGGACAGAGGCATTGAGTGCGCCCTCAGCAAGTTTGCTGACAACACCAGAATCTGTGGTGAGGTCGACACACTCAAAGGAAGGGATGCCATCCAGAGTGACCTTGACAGGCTTAAGAAATGGGCTCATGCAAACTTCAGGAAGTTTAACAAGGCCAGGTGAAAGATTCTGCACATGGGTCGGGGCAATCCCAAGCACAAATACAAGCTGGGAGGAGAATAGATTGAAAACAGTCCAGAGGAGGACTTGGGAGTGATACTGGATGAGAAGCTCAACATGAGCAGGCAATGTGCACTTGCAGCCCAGAAAGCCAACCATGTCCTGGGCTGCATCAAAAGAAGTGTGACCAGTAGGTCTAGGGACGTGATTCTACCGCTTTACTCAGATCTCATGAGACCCTACCTGGACTACTGTGTCCAGTTCTGGAGCCCCCAACATAAGGACACAGAGTTCCCAGAGGGAATCCAGAGATGGGCCACAAAGATGATCCAAGAGCTGGAGCACCTCTCCTACAAGGACAGACTGGGAGAGTTGGGGTTGTTCAGCCTGGAGAAGACAAGGCTCTGGAGGTACCTCATAGCAGCCTTCCAGTATCTGAACGGACCTACAGGAAAGCTGGGGAGGAACTTTTTACAGGGGCTTGTAGTGAAAAAACAAGGAGTAATGGATCAAAACTAGGAGATTTAGGTTAGACATTAGGAGAAAATTCCTTAGTCGGAGGGTGGTGAGACATTGGAACAGGTTGCCCAGGGAAGTTGGGAATGCCCCCTCCCTGGAAGTGTTGAAGGTCAGGTTGGATGGGGCCCTGATCAACCTGATCTAATGTGGTATGTCCCTGCCAATGCAACAGGGTTGGAACTAGATGACCTTTAGGCTCCCTTCCAATTGAAACCATTCTATGATTCTATGGCTGAGTTCAAACACCCTTAAAATTTAACAGGCATGATATTTCTCTCAGCATTTTTCAAGACCCTCCATAAGTTTTCACATAGAACAGCTATGCTGGAAAAAACCTAGAACTCATAAGATAGAACAATTTGTTAAGTTGAACTTCCAGCTCTACAGAGTATTTCTGTTTGTTCTTTTAACAGCAGACCATAGAAGTTCCAAATCCAAAGCTGAATCCCACAGATCCTTTACTACTGGACTATCATCAAAGTCTCAATTTGAAAGTCTGACTTTTGGAATGAAGTAACTATGAAGTTTTATGGTAATAAAGGGTATCTTGAATAAAGAGCATCTGGCTTTTACAACCAACTAGAGCAGTAATTTAGGATATCCAGACTAAAGCTTAAATCTGTGCATATGTGAACATTTTCTAATACCCATAATTTCTTTTCATCCCTTGACCACACAGCAGAACTAACTTGAGTTCAAGCCTCCACCCTGTTATAACCAAACACCTTTGAGGTGTCTTTCCTTACCTGGCTGAAAGCAACTCAGCACCATGTATTAACTTTCATTGTCTTCCCCTACAACTTAACTCACAAGGCCACATCTTTCCAATTCATTACTTGATATAATCCAGAGAGTACACAAAAAAATCTCATCCTACAGTCCTCTATTCCAGAAAACCCAGCTCTTTCAGTCTCAGTGGTTAATATAGCAAGTAGACCAATCAGACCCCATCTCTTCCATTAAATTAAAGACTATTATCAAAGTAACCTACCTGTTTTGCAGGGATTACATTATAATCCTACACCTGCAATAGCTGAATAAGCTATTTTAACAAGCTAATTTAAAAAGTCATCCTCTCATTAAATAAAGGAGAGATGAGTAGTGCTCTATATCCCTGTAGAGTTATCTGTGAATCTCTGCCCAATGTGATACGAATGATACAAACAAGAGCAGAAGTGACTGCAGCTTTCTAAACATAACATTCATGTGCCGATTAATACTATTACATGTTTAAGATGATCTTCATTGCTGAAAGTATATTAAGACCACCCAGCGACAGCAGCTTTCCAAATTTACGCTTTTACATCAACAAAACATTGATATTCTGTATTACTGATAGCATTAATTACACACAGAAAATCTTTGCATTCCCTGTTGAATCCAAATGTGCATACCTAATCCGAGCTTCTAGAAGAAAGCTTCAGGAAAATCCAATCACCCTTGACTACAGAGAGGTTGTGGAGCCTCTTTCTCTGGAGACTTTGAAAGCCTGCCCAGATGCGTTCCTGTGTGGTCTGCCCTAGGTGGTCCTGCTTTGGCAGAGGGTTTGGACTAAATGATCTCTAGAGGTCCCTTCCAACCCCTAACATTGCATGATTCTGTGATACAAGGAAACATTACAGCCATCAACACCATTTCGTATCAAACATCTCCTGCTATGTACTGAAGGAAAATGTAGTGCAATACACACCAGTTTAGGAGATAGGTAGTTACAATGCCTGACTCTGGATGAGCAAGATCAAGGAAAATTAAACTTACAGTATAGCAAAAGACTTAAAAGTATTCAAGATCCAAACTACAGCAAATCAGTGCTACTGAACTTGCAGCAAGAAACCTGTCTTTCCCTCTCTACCAAAGTAATCACAAGACATAGCAAATGGAGTTTTCATATGCTGTCATCTCAACATTTACTCTATCAGCTACTGCTGTTCTCCTAAACATTTAAAGAAACCTCTAACATAAAAGATGAAAAGCTGCTTACTACAGCTGCAAATTAGAAGTGTGTTTTCTTATAGGAACTCCTTGCCCCGTTCCAAAGTGTTGCACTGATAGCACTAATTTTCACAATAGATGACCTAAGAGAACTTGCCATGCCCATGTCTTCTTTCACCAGACATTAGACTACAAGTATGTAACACCTGAAACAATGAAAAGACAGCAGTAATGAAATAGCACTTACTGTAATCACAGCCTTGCTCAGACAGATAGAGCCTCTGCAGCCATATTCCGTTTCATCTTCAGACTTGTAATAACTGAGTGTGTTGCTTTTCAGAACCACCCATCGATCCTGCCATCCATGAATGTAATTAGTCCACTGTAAAAAAATAAATAAATAAAAGTGTATTGTTGATATTCTCAAGCTTTCAACAAGCAGGAGAAAAAATTAACTTACTTTTAAAAATTCGTTCCCATTGAGAAGGCTGTTCTCCTCAGGGCTCCTAAAATATTTTTACAAACTACTACAGGTTCTAAAACATAGTTGTTTTAAATGAACAACATAATAACAGACTCCTTGACAGCAACTGCATTGCCAAGGCCAGTTAAAATAAAATTAATAAACTTACTGATGACAGATTGACGAAAGGGAGGGAGGGGGGAAATCAAATATTAATCATTAAGGTGAGTTGGGCCACCTGATTTAAAATCTGGAGTTAGACTAAAAGCCAAACTTACGTGGAACATAAAATTATTTTTTATAAAATTTCTACAAACATTATTTTGAAGTATCTAGTTTTCTTCATATAAATAAAAAATGCCATTATCCTATGTACAGTATATATCTATGGTCGCACAGAGTAATCAGCTCTTTATCAATTTAATGCTGCCCATAAATATTGCTTCAGGTTTTCATTCTTAACCATTTTCTCATTAAAAAGATACTTGCTTATCAGCAGACATTCAGTCATCCTTTTGCTATTCATATTTTTCTAGAAACTCTACATTCACACATGGAATGAAACTGATATTCCAGAAACAAGTCCAGTATTCATCCTACAGAGGTCTAGTAAGAAGTAACTAAAAGTTATGATTTATTAATCTTTTATTTGCAACATCTTCCCAACTGCCCTTTGTAGAATCATAGGTCACTGACAGAGCATCAAGACTGCCCTGTAACTCTGACAGTACACTGGTGCTTCATTTTCAATCACAGTGCAAAAATTATAGATCAGATAAAAATGAAAGCAAAAGCAGTGAAAATAATCCTATTTGTGCAAGCATTTCTTTGATCATGACAACTGCTGTTTGACAAAAATTCTGAGAAATAAGCTCTTTTTATCATCTAAGTCTAACCATTATCCAGAGTTTTCTAATATATAAATGGCAGTCAACTAACAGGCTCCCTTCCACATGTATTAATACATGTCCCATAACTACATGTTAACTCTAGAAATAACATGAGGAGGTATAAGGAAAACATACTATACAGCTAAGAAATTCTTAACAATTTTCAAGTGTAGGTTAAAACCTTGATTTGCTCTCCAAAGATAAAGTCCTTTTTAATCTCTGAATACACTGAATTGTTAAATTCATTATTTTTTAAAGAAAGCCTCAGCTGTGCTCGGTACATAAACTGGTGGCACAAGAGGTCATGGAAGCATATGATTTCCTGCCTTCCTCTCCTCCCATCTCTCATGTTCTCAGCTCCTCCCAGATGTGAAAGGCAGAGTCCAAAGTTATCTTGGGAAAAAGAGCAAGGGACAGGAAAGAAAGCACCTTTCCGTCTTTGACGGAGGTACGTGAGAAATATAGCAGTCAATCTTTTGCTGTTGCAATCAAGCTATGTCCTGACTTAGGAGACTCCTTAAAGTACACTGGATAGGCACAAGTTTTTGGAAAAGACCCCTGTTTTTTCAAGCATCCAGGTTCTTCTGCTTGAAGAAAAACTCTTCCACATTAGTTTCTGCATATCCACCTTAAAATTGTTGGCAGGAAATACAAAGGCAAAAAAAAATGGAGTTCTGAAATGTTTAAAGTGACTAGCAAGACATACTTCTATTAAGTTTCTCTTGCCATATTATTCCATTTCCTTCAGAGCTTCTCTTTCCTCAAGGGCAGAGCAACTGAAACACTACTAAGCACACAGAGAACTACAGCCTACTCTTATCACTTAAGAATTATACACAGTAAGTTATTAAAAATAAGCATTCCCTTAATAGAAAATGTGAAAGTTACCATTTCATTTTCGTTTGTTTCAAATATCACCGACACACTAACTAACACAAGGTAAACTTATCCCTCAAGTGTATTTACTGCAACAGGTTTAACCATACTTGACTATTCGGATTACATCCTGTGTTCTCACAGGAAAAGCAGCATCAGCTACACTCAAATCAACCCGAAAACCAAAAAGTTTGCACATAACTAAGCTAGAGAATGTCAGAAGCCACAGCTTCACCTGCTAATGCCAGTAAGAAGCAGCACCTGGGCTTAAAAAAATATTTAATTTGCCAAAATAAAAATCAATTACATCCAACAAGTATTAAAGTGTATAATGATGGAAGCATCTAATCAGAAGAAAACTTTGTAATGGGGAAAGAAAAACCACAATCAACCAATAAAACTACACTAAACCAAAACATCACATTTTAGCTCCTGAAATATCTCACACCCATCTCATCATTTCCCTCCCTCATCCAGTATTAGACGACAAGATCTTAGGAGTGAAAGCTGAGACCCTTCTCTTCTCCGAACTGCTTCTCTCATCTCTGGAGTTAGAAACATTTTCAGGCTGCAAGGAATTCACCAAGTCCCTCACAAAAGGCAGACTGCTCTCACTGTTATGGCTGTTTTCTCCACATCCAGGGCCAATTTATCACCTTTGGATCCCATGACCCGTGTCTCCTACACCAGCTTATATCCAGCCATATCGTGGAGGGCAGATAAAAATTAAAAACACAGTGCTTCCATTCTACAGGTATTTCAACATTATTCTGAAGGTGCTTCCTGTAAATAATAATTAAAACAAAAAAAAACCCAACACACTATGTTCAAACTTTGTGATTGAATTTTAAACTACTCCTAAAAATACAATTTCACATATCACCCAACACATACTTCCAAGTCAGCTTATTTTCAGTGACAGAACAGCAAAAAAACAAAAAAAAACCTGTTTACTTTTAAAAGGGGAAACAAGCTTTAATGCCATTTTCCTTCCGCTCCTCCCCACCTCCCCTATCTCGTGCTGCAGGAGCATTATATTACCCTGTTTTGGTACTCGGGACTAAAGGCCGCGCCGCTCCTGCGCCGGTGCCCGCTTCCTGGGGAGTGACCACCGGCTGGAGCTGCCTCCGGCAGCTCCCGGGAAGGCGAGCGCGG